CTCCCTTCAGATAGCCCTAGCCCTAACCCTAGCGCGTGTCAGGCTGACGAAACTTGCTGGGAGATGAAGCTGGGAGATGGCTCAGTGGATAAAACACTTGCTGTGCAAGTGTGCGGACCTCAGTTGGGATCCCTGGCGCCCATGGAAACACCAGGCAGGTGTGATGCTGTCTGCAATCCTGGGGCTCAGGAGGTGGAGACAGGAATTCCCCAGGGCTAGCTGGCAAACTCTAGGGTCAGTAAGAGTCCCTGCCTCAATGAGTAAGGGGGAAAGGGATCAAGGAAGAAGACAGCAATATTAACTTCTGGCTTCTACACACACACATGCACCCACATCACATACACTTATGCATGCATGCCAGGTGGTGGTGACACTTTAAATCCCAGCACTCAGGAGGCAGGGGCAGGCAGATCTATGTGAGTTCAAGGCCAGCCTGGTGAACAGAGCTAGTTCCAGGACAGCCAGGGCTACACAAAGAAAGCCTGTCTTGAAACAAACAAACAAACATATGCATTAGAAAGGAATGGGAGTAGGGGGAAATAATAAAAAATAATAGGTAAAATAAAAACTGGCTAAGGAGCATTTTTGCTAAATAAATGACATTTAAAGATAATACTTTGGGAAGCAGAAGCAATTCTTTTATTAAGCATATTAAAAATCCATGCCAGGAAGCCAGATGTGGTGGGGCATGCCTGTAATCCCAACTATCAGCAGACTGAGGCCAGAGGGCCTTGGGTTTGAGGCCAGACCTTGGGTTACATAGCAAAACCCAGTGTGTGTGTGTGTGTGTGTGTGTGTGTGTGTCTGTCTCTCTCTCTATCTCTCTCTCTCTATCTCTCTCTCTCTCCCTCTCTCAATAGTAGAGCATTTGTCTGGAATGGAATGTGAGGGGCCTTGGGTTCTATCCTCAGCACTGCACGGAAGGAAGGAAGGAAGGAAGGGCGGAAGAAGGAAGGAAGGACAGACCAGGGGTTGGAGAGCCGGCTCAGTCAGTAATTAATGCCAGCCATACAAGCATGAGCGTCTGAGCTCACATCCCTAATACCCATGTTGTGCTTGTGCCTGTAGCCCTGAAGCTGTTGAGGGAGGAGGCAGGAAGACCACTGCAGTCTGACCAGCCTAGCTTCAGCTTCAGTGAGGTACCCTGTCTCAAGAGGATAAGGCAGAGTGTGGTGGGGAAGGGAACCTGATGGATGGCCTATTCTGTTCCCATGGGTGCACACACCCAAAAATATACACCACACTCATAAACAAAAAGTAAAATGTAATGAGGAAGACACCCCACGTTGGTCTCTAGCCTCCACACTCGTGTACATGCATATACATACGAGTACATATACATACATGCACAAAAATAAATTAAAAGTACATATATACAAAACATTCATATATACTTTAAAGAATTCATATTTTGGGAAGAGAGAACTTTCAACATTTTGCAAGGAGGTGAAATGGTTAGTCTTCTTAAATATTTTTGTTTGTTTGGTTTTTTTTTTTTTTTTTTTTAATTTGGAGGAAGAATTTCTCTGTGCCCTGGACCTAACTCTGTAGACCAGGCTGGCCTCGAACTCAGAGATTTACCTGCTTCTGTCTCCTGAGTGCTGGGATTAAAGGCTCGTATGACCACCACCCAGCTCTTCTTTTTCCTAAATAATTTTTAGATACACTTATATTTTATCCATATAGTTTTGTGCCTGCATGTAGAGATGTGTGCCACACGAGTGTCTGGTGCCATGAAATTCAGAAGAGGGCACCAGCTCCCCTAGAACGGGAGTTAAGGATATTAAAAGCAACCATGTGGGCACTGGCCATCAAAATTTCATACCTGAGTACCATGGATCTTGATCATATCCTGATATGCCTTGATCCACCCTGACTCTCTCCCTCCACCTTGCCCACACACTCATCCCGACACATCTCCTGCCTAACTTCGCGTTTACTCCCTCTCCCCCCGACCTCCCTTGATCATCAATTAGTGCAGCCCTGGAAGAGACGTGACCCTGGCCAGGCTTTTCTGAAGCAGGAATCTTTTCACCAAGTCCTGATAGTCAGAAGATGCCACCTGCTGGAGGCTGGCTGGGGACGTAGCTGGAGACTGGTTCTGAGAGTCATGGCGTGAAGTCACGTGACCGGCAGGCCACTCTTGGGCCCCAACAAATTTTCATCTCCACTGTCTTATGGGTTCTCAACACCACACCCCTTCTCTTAGGCTTTTTCCCTATTCACAGTATGTGTGACGCGCCCCAAACATTATTCCTTTTTTCTTAACTTTTGAGATAATTTCAGACAGGCAGAAAGGTGACGTGCAGAGAATACTTGTAGACTCCCAGTTGCTGCTACCTCCTCCTTGCTGTCTGTTTTATCTAATTATTCTTCCTCGCGAATGTACATTGTCATAAAAAGTGTGTCCCCTTTCAGTTCAATGTGTTGTTTGGTTGTTTTTCTTTTTGTTGTTGTTTGTTATGAGATAAGCTTTCACTCTGTAAATCAGGTTGACGTGAAACTCACTACATAGCCCAGGCTGGCCTTGAACTGGTGGTGATTCCCCTGCCTTAATCTCCTCAGTGTTGGGGTTACAGGTCTGAAGCATTCTCGTAGCCTCTCTCTCTCTCTCTCTCTCTCTCTCTCTCTCTGTGTGTGTGTGTGTGTGTGTGTGTGTGTGTGTGTGTGTGTATGTGTGTGTGTTTAAAAATTATAATAGTTGGTGGGCAGCAGTGGTGAACACCTTTAATCCCAGCACTCGGGCAGAGGCAGGCAGATCTCTGGGAGTTCAAGACCAGCCTGGTCTACAGAGTGAATTTCAGGGCAGCCAGGGCTACACAGTGAAACCCAGTCTTGAAAAACCACACAAAAATTATAAAAGTTTAAAAATTGTGTGTGTGTGTGTGCGCGCGTGCGTGTCCAGGATTCAATTCAGAGTCACAGGTTGTATTTTGTGGTCATGAACTTGAATCTGGAACTTCTCATTCTACTGTGATCTTGGCACTTTTGAAAACCGTGATTGGCTTACCCCATACAGTGACTTGTGACTTGTTTGATATCTCCTTGTAAGTAGATTAAGATCACCTATCTTATTTCAAAGTTTTAGGAAAATGTTTTTCTTTTGCTGGACAGTGTTTACTGTCCAGCCTATGACCTTTCTCTTCCACATAGAAATGAGAAATACCTAGTAATCTCTAGGGGATTTATTAGTTAAATTTCTCAATGTCCTGACCCCTCCCCCTGACAAGATGGGACCTAAGGGAAGAAGTATTCATACTAGCAGGTAGTTTGGGGACATACAGCCCGCTGTTGTGGTAATGGGAGCCCGAGGCTGCTGGCTCACATCTCAACAGGCGGGGCATTAGCGTGGGGGAGCACAGGCCGGCTTTCTCCTCTCCCCAGTCCATGGGATACGTGGACTTTTCCTCCTCAGTTACAACTCTCACAGACACACCCACAAGTATCTCCCGGCTCACTCTACGTCCCTGGTTTAATTTTCAGATTTGTTTAAAACTATCAAGTGATGTGTTTTTGTCAGGACCACAAAAAATGTGTGTTTGGTCCACGAATGATAACGCTAACTTTGTTCATTTAAAAAAAAAAAAAAAAAAAACTATGTGGCTGGAGAGAATTAACAGCACCTGCTCCTTGCTCTTCAGAGACCTAGAGTTCCGGGTCCCAACAACCACGTGACGACCCACAGCTGGTTGCTGAGGAACCAAGGCCCTCTCTGGTCTCCACCCGCACCAGGCATACTTGTAGTGCACACAGACACCCATGCAGGTAAAACACACATACGCATAAAACGCTAGGCTAAAACAAAACAGAACCTTCTTTTTAAGATGACGCCGTGTTCTTTACTGCCCCAAACCTTTCCCCCCATCTTTACATTTTATGTGTTTTGCCTACGTGGATGTGTCAGCAGCCATATGGGTGCAGAAAATGGAACCCTGGAAGAGCAGCCAGTGCTCTTAGCCACTGAGCCATTTCTAGTCCCCCTGGAGAACTTTATTTTTTAAGAAACATTTATTTATTCATGTATTTTATGTACGTGAGAGCTCTTCTCCATGCACACTAGAAGAATGAATCTGATCCCATTACAGATAGTTGTGAACCATCTTATGGTTGATGGAGACTTGAACTCAGGGCCTCTGGAAGAGCAGTCAAGCGCTCTTAACCTCTGAACCATCTCTCCAGCCCCCTCCCCCAAAAACTTTTAAAAAATGTGTATGTCACTTGTGTCATGGGAGACCCTTGGAGGTCAGAAAGTGTCTGATTCTGTGTGTGTGTGTGTATGTGTATGCATGCATGTATGTGTGTACACCATACGTGTGCATAAGGGTGCCCTTGGAGAGAAGAGTCTGATCCTCTGGAGCTGGAGTTACGGGAGGTTTGGAGCCACTGAGGCTTAGAATCAAACTTGGGTCCTTTGCAAGGGCTACGGGCACTCTTGCAGCCATCTCTCCAGCCCCTGTGTAACAAACGTACACGTAAGTATTTTGCTCCGTAATCAGTTTTCGCCCAGTTGTTTTGACTTCCTTTGATGATTCCGGATCAATTTTCAGTATGATTTTTCCAAGTGGTGATTTGTTTTCTTTTTTTTTCTTTTTAATATTATTTTAGTCCCTTTCAGATCCTTGGCACAGTAAGTAGGTGGTTCACACTTTTGTTTGATGAATGGAAGGAAGGAATGAAAGAAAGAAAGAAACAATGAATGAATGAACGAATGAATGAATGAAAGAATGAATGAATGAACGAACGAATTAAAGAATGAATGAATGAACGAACAAATGAAAGAATGAATGAACGAACGAACGAATGAATGAAAGAATGAACGAAAGAACGAACCCCAGATTCGGTTGGCCTGGCTTGGAGGGGAACCTCTGCAGCTTCGCTTAGGGGCTTGACTCCTTCAGCCAACCAGGACGCGGTCCCGGGCCGGCTTACGTAGAACGGAGAGCTCCCATTGGCTCCGCCTCCGGCTCGGGGGCCAATGGGCGCGTGGCGAGGCGGGGCTTCCGCGGGCCGGGGGTAGAGCTAGCTTCGCGGCCCGCGCGCGCGCTTCTCTCCGGCGCGGGCACCGGCGCGGGCCATGGCCTCGTCCTCTCTGTTATCCGCGCTGGCTGCGCGGCTGCTGCGTCCCGCGCGCGGCTGCCACACGCGCCTGCAGCCCTTCCACCTGGCGGCAGCGCGGTGAGTGTGCCGGGGAGCGGGTCCGCGGGACGGCGGGGCGCGGCGTGGGCAAGGGGTCCCCGGTCCCCGAGCATCCTTGCCGTCCGGCAGCCAACGGAGGGGCGTGGCGGGGCGACGTGGCGCCGGGGCTCACGTGCGGACGCGGATGCGGATGCGGACGCTTGCCTCGCGGGCATCGTCCCGCCGCCGCAGGGGAGGCTGCGGAGAGGTCCGCCTCTTCCCGGCCCTAGCGGCAGCCCGGGTTGCTGCAGTCTGATGAAATCCGCGAGCCGGCTTGCTCAGGGGTACCGGCTTCCCTCCTCCCGAGTGCGGTGGGTGTGGTCCGCAAGATGCCGCTGCCCCGCGGAGGTCCCGTGCTCCCCGCAGCCCCCCAGTCCACTCCGAAGCCTGCCAGTTCCAGCCTGGAGGTGACACACGCCCCCAAAAGTTGCTGTGGGCTCCCGGGCGTGAGAGGAGCATTGTTTCAGGGCGAGCTTCAGTGATGGAGCTTCCGCTCCGCACGTGCACCGCCGAGCTGGCCACACCGTTCTGAGATTGTTGGATACCACGTAAACTGTGCTTGAGAGTTGCCAGAGCCTGGCGCGAGGCGAGATTGCTTCTGAGGCAGGGGGATTACTGCGAGTCCCAAGCTAGCTTGGACAGGGTGTGTGTGAGTTGGAGACCAGCCCGGGCTGCAGTGTGAGACACTTCCCTCCCCAATCTCAGAATAGCAATTAAAAAAAAAAAGTCACAATGGTAAATTTCCTATGCGTATTTACCGTAGTTTTTAAAACTTCAAACACCCAAGGTAAGGTGATTGAAAAATAATAATAATAATCCGATGATCCGATGGGGAAGGCAGGGAATGTTCTGTTTGCATTTCCTTCGGGAGATAATTGACTTGCTGGATCTTTGTGGACCTCAAGCCCCCATGTCTGAGCCTAAGTAGAGAGACTCCAATGGGGGTTGTGATTTCTTCCCCCACATCTGGCACAATCCTGTGTCTTTAAAAGCTGGTTCTGTGTCCTGTCTCCACCGCCCCCCCCCCATGCTCCACCCGGCACCAACACATCATAGAGTTTGAGACTGCACATTTAGAGCCGATAAAAACTTTGTGCCTTCCACAATGGGACTTTTGTTCCTGTTGAAGGGAAGCAGGTGAGGTTTCCACCAGTTGGAAGACATTTCATTTCCCGGCCTTGCGTGTTGGAACACAGGATGCTGAGGTTTTTTTTTTTTTTGGGGGGGGGGGACAGGGTTTCTCTGTGTAGCTCTGTAGACCAGGCTGGCCTCGCACTCAGAGAACCGCCTGCCTCTGCCTCCCGAGTGCTGACATTAAAGGTGCGCGTGCGCCACCAACACCCGGCTCCATGCTGACATTATTCAGGTTTTCTGAGATCTGATCCTGACCTGCCTCCTTGAGTCCATCCTTCGTTTCTCTTCTTTTCTTTCCTCTTCCTGAGTTCTGGTGGCTGGAGGCTGTGGACCGGAGACCTGGCTAACTGAAAAGACCCTGTAATTCATTACCCGAAGAACTAGACCAGTTTGCTGGCGATCAGGCTGTGCTCTTGCCAGCGATTCTGAGAAGTGAAGTGTAGGCTTCATATCTCTGAAAGCCATCTCTCAACTGCCCCGCACATTAGATAACTGCAGGGTCCTCTTTGTTGTTGTCCCAGGGTTTCAGGGACATAAACTGCATGGTTGAAGGGAGAGAACCGTAGCCTAGGAGACGGTGGGTGGAGGAGTAAACGAGCTTGGTAAACAGGGTTTTTATAACAGGCACGATAACCAAGCGTAATTTATGTAAAGATGTTGACAAAAAAACCACGTAGTGTTCAATCAGTGTCTGTTCCGTTTTCTTCCTCCCCTCTCATTACCGGCCCATTAATTAAGTTGCAGAACTTTTCCCAAAATCATTGGGAGTTATAAGCTTCCCTGATATTGTCTGGAAAAATCACCAACTGTTGGTTTAACAGGAAAAATAGGTATTACTGACTTGGATATTTGTTTTGACCTTGATTAGATGACTTCCTTCTAGTCTGTCATTTTAGTAGGAAAATTTCTAAACATGTCTTGTGGAAGCATTTAATATATAAATTAAGTGTACAGACTTAGAATTTCTTCTTCATTTTATTTCTTTTTAGTTTTGGGTTGGAGCTCAGTCTATTTCCCTTTAAGCAGTGACCTAATTTGGCCCCTGGCAAAGAGATGGAGCGAACTCATCAAATGACTCATGTTTTTCCGTGCTGCAGGGAGCAGCAAAGGGTTAAATGTTGTTGGATTATAAATAGTCTTCATTACAGAGTGGTCTGGCTTTGTTTGCCTTGGCCTTTTTTTTTTTTTTTTTTTTTTTTTTTTTTTTAAGTAAATTGGCATGACATCCAGAACCTCCCTCTGCAGCAGAGATTAGGACCTGAAACACTGGCCTCTGTCTCCAGAACCCTGCATCCTTAACTTCAGCCCATCATTTTTGGTTCAAGTGGGCTTCTACTGTTTCTTTTTCGATTACTGCTTTCCAAAGAAACTCTTTGTGAAGTGCTAGATAAATCATTCTCACAGAGCACAATGTACACATACATATAAGTAAGACAGGGTTTCTCTGTGTAGACCAGGCTGCCTTCCAACTCAGATCCACCTGCCTCTGGGGTTAAAGTGCTGGGGTTAAAGGTGTGCGCCGCTGCCGCCGCCGGGCCATTGCTGGGCTGCTCCTTTCTTTCTATCCCTGTCGGAGTCGGGATGGTGCCACCCGAAGCTCAAGTAAAGCAGTCACGATGATGATGCCTCATTGGCGTGTCCAAAGGCCCCGGGCAATTCTAGATCCTTCCAAGCTGGTGGATGATACTAACCATCCTGCCCTCATATGAGAACGGTCCCGGAAAGGGAGTGGGCAGTGGCAGGAATTCTGAGGCTTGACTTGCCAGTGTGGTGTTTATTGTCTACTAACCACATGATATAGTTTGTATGTAAACAATTCTATATAACAACTTTTCATATAGAATTGTGTTGTGTTAGGTTTATAAGCACTCTATAGGCAATTTAAGGGCTGGAGGGTGTGTGTGTGTGTGTGTGTGTGTGTGCAGAGATTATGCAAATCCTGCACTATTTTCAATAAGGAACTTGACCATCTATCTGTAGGTGAAGAAGGCGCCTTGGAACTATTGTTTAAAGCGGGACAGTTGTGTTATACAGTACTGTATAACACGGTTCAGTGGGGCTGCAGAATGGCTCAGTGGTTAAGAGTACTTGTTCTTACCCCTGCAGAGGACCCAGGTTCTATTCCCAATACCCACACGGCAGGCGGCTCACAACTGTCTGTCGTGCTCAAGTTCCCGAGGGTCAGACCCTGTCTTCTGACCTCAGTCAGGCCCTGCACAGACATGATACATATGCATGCACGCAGGCAAGACACCCATACACACAAAATAAGAAGGAAAAGAAAATAAGTCCAGGTCCTGAGAAACATGACCAGATAGTAATACCACCAGCATAACACAAATTTCAAAAGGAACGTCGATATTTAAGGAAGCGTGCTAGCCTCAGCAGTGGGGTGGGGGACAAGGAAATGCCCATTCTGGTAGTGAGGCGGTGGCACAAGAGACCCTGGTCTGAAGTCTTACCTGGGCCAGTGTCAGCTGCCAGCAGCTTAAGCTTGGGAGCCTCCCCAGCCCTGATTTAATCACCCTGGCCATCCTGAACTGGTAGCAGACGGTTGTACACCTGCTCTTCGGATCTCACATTCAAACCTAAGCCTTTTGGTGTTGAATGACACTTTTTCTAATAGGAGCATTTCTTTCTTTCTTTTCTTTCTTATTTTTTTTTTTCTTTGCAAAGACCCAAAGCCATATTTTTGTAACTTTGTCGTCACCTTCTGCAGAAATGAAGCTGTGGTCATTTCTGGAAGGAAGCTGGCTCAGCAGATCAAGCAAGAAGTACGGCAGGAGGTGGAAGAGTGGGTGGCCTCAGGCAACAAGCGGCCACACCTCAGTGTCATTCTGGTTGGTGACAACCCTGCCAGTCACTCCTACGTCCTCAACAAAACCAGGGCGGCAGCAGAAGTGGGTGAGTGTTACTGTCGGGGCCCGGCTGCTGCCTGGAAGTCTGTCTGGGGTTACTGTCGGGGCCCGGCTGCTGCCTGGAAGTCTGTCTGGAGTTAGTGTCGGGGCCCGGCTGCTGCCTGGAAGTCTGTCTGGGGATAAGGCTACTCCCCGAGTGGTGGCTCATACCACAGTCCCAGCACTTGGGGAGGATGAGTCAGTCAGGAGGACCAGGAGTTCATGGCCAGCTTGGCCGCATAGCAAGTTTGAGGTCATCCTGGACTACATGAGACCCTGTCTCCAAAATCTAAAATAGAAAACAGAACACTAGAGGGCTTTCAGGGAAGGGTGACCGGCCTTAGCCCTAACTGTCTGCCAATGACCTTGAACATTCTTTACAGCCGCTTCCCCTGAGCAGTAGGGTCTCTGTCTTGGGTCAGTGAAATGGCAGTGGCTTCAGCCCAGCCACATCAAAAGGGAAGGCTCCAGGTGCTCAGACCACCGATTGTCACACAAGCAGATGAGCATCTGAGCCGGCTAGCTGCCTGTCATTGTAATCAACAATGCCTGAAGGACAAAGACACAAATTTCCCATCCCCCAAAACCTGAGCTACCCACGCTTATACAGCCAATGAAAAACCACTTCCTCAGACGGCTGTCGTTTCCTTCAGACCTACAACTAACGTTCAGCCATACCACAGAGGCCTTTCATGCTACTGCTCAACCTTTCCTGCAATGCTTAAGCACCCAAGACAGAGATGCCCTTTTAAATTCATAACAGTTGTTACACTGGTTTGTTTGATTATTTAGCGTGTGTATGTTTGCTCTTCTCGCTACATTTTGAGTCTGTCTTGCACAGAACCTGGAGACAGTCTGACCAACAGGCTGTGAGAATCCTCCGGTCTCATTGCCTAAGCACTGGGCTTACAGATGTGTGCAGCTGTGCCCAGCTTTTACTTGGGGCCACACTTGGGTCCTCAGCGAGCATGCTGGGCCATTTCTCCCAATCTCCAGCTGGCATTTTATCTGGTTCTCAGGCTCCTCCCTCCTTGTCTCAAAATGAGGTTGTTGAATAAGCACAGAACAGTGCACTGAGCCCTGAGCTGGTGTTTGAGAGTGTCCGTGTGAAGCCGGAGGAGTCCTTGTGGGCAGGTCATGCCTTAGCTCCCATGCAGGTCACACGTTACCCATGTCATTAAGGACTTTTGTGTTCTTTTTCCCCCCAGAGAAGAACTTAGTCTTTATTCATCCCCTATGGTTGGGAGCTGTACACTTTCCGATGTTGTTTAAGCCTTGACCTTTCTTACAATAGGAATCAACAGCGAGACAATTGTGAAACCAGCCTCAGTTTCAGAAGAAGAGCTGTTGAGTTCAATCAGGAAATTGAACAACGACGAAAACGTAGACGGTCTCCTTGTCCAGCTGCCACTCCCAGGTGAGTTCTAGTCTTCGAAAGAGAAAAGGGACCTGGGCTTGAGATAGCTTGGTGGTTAAGAGCACTGGTGCTCTCCCAAAGGACCTGGGTTCAATCCCCCATAACTCCAGTTTCAGGTCAGCTTTATGGTCTCGTCTGGCCTCCATGGTACCCAGCATAGACTTGGTGTGTGTGTGTGTGTGTGTGTGTGTGTGTGTGTGTGTGTGTGTGTGTTCAGGAAAAACACCCATACACATAAAAATAAAACAATTTTCAAAAATAAAAAATAGGTTATTGAATTCTGAGCAGTCCGGGCACTGCTGCTGTTTGGAGTGCTTAAAAAAGTATTTACTATTTCGCTATGTACTTCAGGCTGGCCTCCGACTTCTGGCAGTCTTCCTCCACAGTGTTCGAGTGCTGCGGGGAGCTGATATGAGTCATCCCTCCTAGCCTGCTAGAGATCTTGATATGAAGGACCAGTGGGAGGAAGTGGGGGGAGCGGGGAGTACATTGGCTGTGGTGCTTTGACTCACGGCTTCGCTCAATGCCATCCTGGCCACCATGGCGTCACGCCAGAGGAGAGTGGATCCGTGGATTGATGCACTGGAGCAGGTCGGCCTTTCCCTCGTAGCGTGGACCGGAGGCTCCACGCTTGCTTTCTTTTCCAGAGCACATCGACGAGAGGAAGGTCTGCAACGCCGTTTCTCCTGACAAGGATGTCGATGGCTTTCACGTCATTAACGTGGGGCGAATGTGCTTGGACCAGTATTCCATGCTACCAGCGACCCCTTGGGGCGTGTGGGAGATACTGAAGCGAACCGGTGGGTGTGTGTCCAGGTTGCATTTCTGCCTTAGTATTGGGAAAGTAGGCTCGGTTGGGCAGCCCTGATCTGAAAACCTGAAACCCTTTCAGCACTGTTAGTTTTGGATTGTTAATAGCGTAAGAGCTGTGCAGATAATCCCACATCTGAGTAACTCCAATACTGAAACATTCCCAGCCCTGCATGCTTCAGGGTAAGGAACACTCAACCTGTACTTAGGACTGGCAGGAACCCCCAGAGCAGCAAAGTGTGGGATCCCACCCCAGCCCAGGTTCCCACCCTGCAGGGCTCACCTGTGTGTGTGAGTGTCTCTGTGTGTGTGTGAGTGAGTGTGTGTGTGTGTCTGTGAAAGTGAGTGTGTGTGAGAGTGTGTGTGTCTGTGTGAGTGTGTGTGTGTCTGTGTGAGTGTATGAGTGTGAATGTGTGTGTGAGTGTCTCTGTGTGAGTGTGTGTGTCTCTGTGTGTGAGTCTGTGTGTGTGAATATGTGTGTGTGAGTCTGTGTGTATGATGGCTCTCCGTTCTACAAGCCTTGGAGGGTGGAGGGGGTGTAAGGTTTACCAACGATAACAGCAAGAATCTATAAGATGTTTTACAGTTTACAACATGCCTTCTACTGCACAGCCACAGCCCTGACTGGCCCATAGTGATTGGATTCATGACCTAAAGCAGCTCTGTATGTGTGCACGAGCAACTTGTTATGGAACTAGCTCCAAACAAACTCAAGTTCTGGGTAAAGCACGGTTGTAGGCAGTGAGACATTTTTAGACCTGGCTTTGATTGTATTCATTCAGAGTTGCTATCCGTGCCATGTCATTTGATGTGTACACACATGCATGCACATGTTGTGTGGTGTGTGTGTGTGTGTGTTTATATATTATTATTTATTTTTGCAGGCATCCCAACCTTAGGAAAGAACGTGGTTGTAGCCGGCAGGTCAAAAAACGTTGGAATGCCAATTGCGATGTTGCTGCACACGGATGGTGCCCACGAACGGCCGGGAGGTGAGAAAGTTACCGTTCCTGTTGTGAGAGAGCCCTGAAACCCTAGCCTGTGACCACCATGGTGTGGAAGGCTGCACTCACTCAGTACCACCACTGGGGACCCTAGAGCTAGCCTTGGGCAGATTGGAGTTTTGAGTGAAGCACGTTGTAGGCAGTTAGGGGTTATCAGCTCCCGTTGGGTCAGCACTAGAAGCTTTCTTACTCAGAACTGGCGCCTGCTGTGTGTCCCTGGGAGGGAAAGCCACTGTAGGCCCCTGCAGAAGAGGGAATCGGCTGATTGCTGCCTGTCCTGCCGTGCCCTGTTGGTTCATCTAAGAAACAGCAAAGAAGTCAAGGACTGCATGAAATTACTGTAATTATGACCAAAGCAAAATTATATTTCTTGAGTAAACTGTATTATCTTGAGTAATTCTGGTGGTGTTTTGCTCCAGCTCCTTGGGGGCTGGAGATATGACTCAGCCCTTAAGAGCTCTGGTTGCCCTTCCAGAGGACCTGGGTTCAATTCCCAGCACCCACATGGCAGCTCGCAACTGTCTGTAACTCCAGTTCCAGGGGATTTGACACCCATGGCAAAACACCAGTGCATATAAATAAAAAAATCCAAAAAATGTAAAACTCTTTAAAGTCTATGAATACATGGAATAAACATGATTATTTATGACCCCAAAGGGTAGAGTTGAGAGCAGTGCCAGATGCTACATCAAGTATTAGTGTGTGTGTGAGTGTGTGTGAGTGTCTCTGTGTGTGTGTGAGTGAGTGTGTGTGTGTCTGTGAAAGTGAGTGTGTGTGAGAGTGTGTGTGTCTGTGTGAGTGTGTGTGTGTCTGTGTGAGTGTGTGAGTGTGAATGTGTGTGTGAGTGTGTGTGAGTGTCTCTGTGTGAGTGTGTGTGTCTCTGTGTGAGTCTGTGTGTGTGAATATGTGTGTGTGAGTCTGTGTGTATGAGTGTCTGTGTGTGAGAGAGTGTGAGTGTGTGTCTCTCTGTGTGTGAGTCTGTGAGTGTGTGTGTGAGTCTGTGAGTGTGTGTGTGAGTGTGTGTGTCTCTGTGTGTGAGTGTCTCTGTGTGAGTCTGTGTGTGTGAGTCTGTGTGTATGAGTGTCTGTGTGTGTGAGTGTGTGTCTCTCTGTGTGTGAGTCTGTGTGTGAGTGTGTGTGTGTGAGTGTGTATGTGTCTGTGTGTTCGTTCTGCCTTGTGTTCTGGGGGATGGACTCAAGCTGTCAGGAATGCATGTTTACCCATTGACCCCTCTCTCTGTCCTAAGCATAAATGACAATTAGCCATGTAGAAATTGTGCCAAGTCTGAGTTCTGCAGCGCTGTTAATAGCTGAAAGCCACCTTCACCCCGGCCCGGATCTGGGACTCAGGGCCTCTGTTTTTTGCATCCTCAGGCGATGCCACGGTTACAATATCTCACCGATACACTCCCAAAGAGCAGCTAAAGCAGCACACAATCCTTGCAGACATTGTGATATCTGCCGCCGGTAAGCGTTCCGAAGTCTGACTGTTCCTCTGCCCGACTGCTAGCCTGCCCAGCTCTCCTCAGCAGTGATGTTTAAATGGTTCCTTAGTTAACGGTGTTCATAGCAAGTTCTTCCAGTCACCTGCCTGTAATGCCCTCTTGTGGCCTCTGTGAGCTTTGCAGGCACATGGTGCACATTGAAGCAAAACATTGCTACCCGCAAACATCAATACATCTAAAATAAATGAAATATTTTAAATGAAGTATGTTGCCTTACTGATTGCTGCTCTCTGTTGCCAGGCATCCCAAATCTGATCACAGCTGACATGATCAAGGAAGGGGCAGCGGTCATCGATGTGGGCATAAACAGAGTTCAAGACCCTGTCACTGCAAAGCCCAAGTTGGTTGGAGATGTAGATTTTGAAGGTATTTAGTCTATTTTTTTTTGAAAACATAAATCTGTAAATATTACCTTTCGTGGACATTTAGGACATATCTTTTCACATAGTTTTGTTTTGTTTGTTTGAGAGTTTGAGACTAGGTCTCAGCAGATCGCCATGGCTGGCTAGGAACCCACTATGTAAGACCAGGCCGGCTTTGAACTCACAGAGACCCAATGCCTCTGCCTCCCACGTGCTGGGATTGAAGGTGTGTGCTATGGGTCTGTTGTACATATATGGTGTTGTGTGTCCGTGTTGTATATCTATGGTGCTGTGTGTCCGTGTTGTGTATCTATGGTGCTGTGTGTCCGTGTTGTGTATCTATGGTGCTGTGTGTCCGTGTTGTGTATCTATGGTGCTGTGTGTCCGTGTTGTGTATCTATGGTGCTGTGTGTCCGTGTTGTGTATCTACGGTGCTGTGTGTCCGTGTTGTGTATCTACGGTGCTGTGTGTCCGTGTTGTGTATCTACGGTGCTGTGTGTCCGTGTTGTGTATCTACGGTGCTGTGTGTCCGTGTTGTGTATCTACGGTGCTGTGTGTCCGTGTTGTGTATCTGACGGTGCTGTGTGTCCGTGTTGTGTATCTACGGTGCTGTGTGTCCGTGTTGTGTATCTACGGTGCTGTGTGTCCGTGTTGTGTATCTACGGTGCTGTGTGTCCGTGTTGTGTATCTACGGTGCTGTGTGTCCGTGTTGTGTATCTACGGTGCTGTGTGTCCGTGTTGTGTATCTACGGTGCTGTGTGTCCGTGTTGTGTATCTACGGTGCTGTGTGTCCGTGTTGTGTATGTGTGTTGGTGTGTGGTATGTATGTTTGTGTGGCACCGTATGTATGCCTTTGGGTGTCTTCAGTTGTTCATGACCTGGAACTTGCTAATGTGTCCAGGCTGGTTAACTAGTAAGCCCCAGCAATCTAGTTATCTGCCCCCAGCACTGGGGTCACAGTACAGCTCAGTACACACCACCACATCTGTTTTTACGTGGGTTCTGAGGCTTGAACTCAGGTCTTCATCGGTACTTTACAACTGAGCTGTTGCCCTGCCCTGTAGATGCTATTTTTCTTAAGAAAAGGAAAAGAAATCACACGTTTATTTTGTATGTCTGAGTGTTTTGCTTGTACCTGCATGTATGTACACCGTGTGTGTGCCTGTTGTCAAATCCTCTGGAACTGGAGTTTTGGATGGTTATGAGTCACCATGGTTATGAGTTTCCAACCCACTTCCTCTGCAAGAGCAGCCAGTGCTTATAACCCCTGAACCATCTCGCCAACCCCATAGATGCTGTCTTACGCAGTTTGAAGCTAACGGAGTCTCTTGCATTTCTCACTGTTCTTTCTTTGAATACTTTTTCTCCACAACGTGATAAAGTACACATGGTGTTTGCCACACGCACTTGAAGCAGCCTCCCTGTCTTGTTTCTGCGCAGGGGTCAAGAAGAAAGCCGGTTACATCACTCCCGTCCCTGGGGGTGTTGGTCCCATGACAGTGGCCATGCTAATGAAGAATACCATTATTGCTGCAAAGAAGGTGCTGAGGCCTGAAGAACTGGAGGCGTTCAAGTCCCAGCAGCGTGGAGCGGCCACCAACTAGCAGTGCTCCGTGCCAGTCCGACAGGCGAAGTGGACCAAGAGGAATGCAGTGTTTTTAATTTATTCTGGTGGAATGATGTAGAATGATGTTTGTATTTATTGAAAGCTTAAACGGGTGGGTGTGTGTGTGCGCGCTCGTGGCTCTGCAGAACCTCACCAGGGTGCCCATCAGCGTCCTGCCGTTGACCTGGTGACGCACAGGAGGCATCCTCACACCGAGATCGGATGCTGAACTTCATCGAAAAACCTGCCTTTGTAGGCTCCCGTTTCCCAAGTGCTATTCCAATACAAGTTAATGACTCATCCGAGGTGCCGAGCCTTCCGAGTTCAACTTTCAGACCAAAGGAGAACGTCCTGGAGAAAACTTGGGAAAGGAAGACGCCGCAGGCACCGGCAGAAAGACCACACCCCCTTACTTTCTGTGCTTGCCACGTCAGAACCAGGAGAGCTCAGCTGGCTGGGTTGGCAGAGGGAAGCCTGGCACCGCCAGCTGTCCCCTGTGGCTGAGTCACCGGGGAAGGTTAGGACTCTCCACTTGCTGCTACCCTCCGTGAGCTTGTCCCGTTTCAGTTTTCTAGGATCATTTTGTAAGCGATGTATGCCATTGTCACGTTGGGCTTTTGCCGCACATTTCAACTTTACATTCCCAACCGTTAGAGAGTATACGTCTGCCTTCTTTGCCATAAGCTTTGAAGCCTATCTTTTGAAAAACGAAACCTGGGCGTGATAATCATGAGGGCAGATTGGGTGAAACTTAGCTTCCCACCAAAGAACCGACGGCGGATGTCTGTGTGTCTTTCCTTTAACCTGTTGGCTTTCCTGAAAGGTACTGAGGAGCTTGAGTTAATATAAGATTTAATCAGATTTTCTTATTGAAGGGTTTTTGTTGCTGTTGTTGGCTTTTTGGTTTTTTTTTTTTTTTTTTTTGTTTTGTTTTGTTTTTTGTTTTTTTTTTAAATAAAACACATCTGTCTGGTTGTGGAGTTTCTGAAATGCTGTCTTCTGCCTCAGACCTTACCCTTGTTACTGTTTCCTATCTGATGTTTTGGACTAACTTTCTAGATTACAACCACTGTAGGCTGGAAAAACCAGCCTAACCCTTTTGTGTCCCAACACTCAGTTCCAAGCCAAGAGTTTACTAATCTTTAATATATATGTGAGCGACTGGGAATCTTCTAAGCTGTTCCTACCACTCACTACAAAGGACTTGCTTGCAGAGTTTTCAACACATGTACCCATGTGTGCAATAAATATATTCGTTCCTACTGTGCAATTATTTGGCAAACTAGAAGGTGCAAGGTGAACTTCCAACCCTGTGTGTTCTCATGGGTGTTTGGATTTAGGCTCAAAGACTCAAATGCCCCTAACCACTGGGCAAACTCTCCAGCTCCCTTGCTGAGGATATTTTTATAAGTCAGGTATGATACATGCTATAGGACATGACTGTTGATGTCCTTCAGTTATTAAACATGGTGTAAGATAAGCAGACAATTTTATTTAAGTGCTGTTTACATTAGAAATGGGAAAGAATTTAAGTGAATGGAGAAGTAATTCGTGAGCATATTAAAGAGTGCTGAGGTTGAAGTGTTCATGTATATACAAAATACAAGTGATACTTATGGAAAAAAAATTACATGGGTCGATTTATACCAAACTTCTGGAAGCTACCTGGTTTCCCAGCTCGCTTGATCAATGAAGCACACTTACCTCTGGATCTTTAAAAATGCTACAGTTTAATCTGGATAGAGTGCTATTACAGACCAGTGAAGCTTTGAAACTTGTGTGCTGTTGGCTCTCCCAGGATTGGTACAGAGGAAGATAAGCAACTTTATCTGGGAAAGGGTTTGGATGAAGAGGTGGGTGGTCTTGGCTCAAGTTCGGATGGTTTTTCTTCCAGCCACTTGTATAAAGTACTAGTTTGATTACAAACATTAGCCACCTAACAGGCAGTGTCCGGGAGATTAGAAATCGGGCCTTAGCTATTGCAAAAATTGTGTGGGGCAGGGGCAGGGGCGGATGGACCTACCCACACTCATCAAAAAGTGTGCTGCAGGTTATGAAGCCAGTGGCAAGCTTAACGGGTCATTGGGTTGGCTTAAGAGTTCAGTTAGCAAGCTATATTTTGTCTTAAACACTCCACTCAGCCAGGTGAGATGCACACCTTTAGTCAATCCCAGAGGCGGGTGGTCCTCTGAGTTCTGAGCCAGCCTGGTCTACGTGGGCAGTGCCAGGACAGCTGAGGGTACATAGCTCCGATATCAAATAAAAATGACCCACCAATACATGGATTCTCCCACTAGTAATCTTGGAACTGGTCTTTCAGTGTGGACAGCCCAGCCACACTTCTACAGCAGAAAGGACTCAACTTCAAGCACAACGAGGCAAAATGATTCTCCGCCATTTCTAAATGTGCAAACCTTCAGAGCACACTTAGACCTTCAAGCTATCCAGATTTCAATCTAACCTTTAAAAGATACTCAATCGGTAAATATTCTAAATGGGAGTTACTAAGTCACTACATACTTCAAATAGGAGTCCAACACTGCTCACTTATCACACCGGCAACCGTGGAAAACACTCTTGCTCCTTTCAGAAGAAAGGTTATATTTAGACTGGGTGGCATTTTAAAGGGTTCTATTTCGAGTGTTTTAATAACTGCAAAGGGAAGAGTAGAGCTTGGACATCACAGATAGACCTCCAGTTGTGGATAAAGAAACACGCACTCTAGAGGAAGCCTCAGCCAGCCTGCATGCTGTCCCCAGCCTGGGAAAGCAGCCCTGTGCTAGAGTGTCGTCTCCCCATCCACCTGCTTCCCATAGTCCTCATTGTCAGACTCCATCTCTATCTTCACCTGCGGCACCATGAAGACTGGACTCGGTGAGTAACTGAAAGCAGGTGAAGCCGGACAGGAGATTTTGAAGTGTAGGGTGATGCTGAGTAAGACAAATTGGGAATAAAGAATTAATACCTAGTCTTGGCTTTGTTCAGCACCAGCCACCGAACAGGGTGCTAATGGAAAAGTCCTGTCAGTCATTGCTTATCATCTTAAAGAAAAAAAAAAAAATTACAAGCCAGGTAGCACTCAGACAGATCTGAGTTCAAGACCAATCTGGGCTACTTAAGTGCAGAAAAATTATTACATTCTATTAACGGGTGTTTGGTGGAGAGTTTAAGAGTGGATATCAGAGGGCAATGCAGGTGTAGGTTCCAGGGATTAAACTCAGATCATGTTTGGTTGGTTGGTTTTTCAAGACAGGGTTTCTCTGTGTAGCCCTGGCTGTCCTGGAACCAGCTCTGTAGACCAGGCTGGCCTCAAACTCACAGAGATCCACCTGCCTCTGCCTCCCGAGTGCTGGGATTTAAGGTGTGCATGCGCCACCACTGCCTGGCTCAGATCCTATTTTATTTTTTTCCAGAAGTGTAATGCTGTGCAGACCAGGCTGACCTTGAACTTAAGAGACACACCCACACTCCTAAGTGCTGGGATTAAAGGTGTGGGCCACCATTTCTCTGAACACAGGTCACCAGGGTTGGTGACAAACGCCTTTATCCACTGGGCATCTTGCTGGCCTTTTTGTTTTGTTTTTTGATACAGGGTCTCGTGTAGCCTCAAACTTGCCTTGTAGTTAAGACTGGATCTTGAATTCCTGAGTCTCCTGCGTTTGCCCCTCCCAGAGGCCTGAGCATATTGTATCCTTGAACCCAAGTGGCCTCCATCTGCTGGGCTTTCACCGTCACCCCTGAACTGGTTCCAGCCTGTTTTAACCGATTCAAATGGCTGCCAGAGGCAACCATTTGAATCATAGATCTGAGTGTTCTACTCTCACTGTTCAAAGGACAGCATCCAGACCCCATGGCCTGGCAGACAGAGCCTGCTGGGTTTGAACTGGCCACTTTTCCTGTGTGTGTGTGTGTGTGTGTGTGTGTGTGTGTGTGTGTGTGTGTGTGTGTACTGGCCTTTTCTCCTCTGCTCTGGCCCAGGCCGTGCATCAGGCAGGTCTTTCTGTCCTGGATAAGGCAGCTGAGATCACCAGCCTTTCCATGTGTCCATGCTTGCTCTCACACATGATATTGTCCCTCTGTCTGCAAGTCCCTTACGACTCCAAGTGTGGCACCTCACCTCATGCCTGGCAGACTTTTAAAACTTTTAAAATCTACTTAACATTATTTTATGTGCATTGGCACAACAGTGTCAAATTCCCTGGAACAGGAGTTACACACAGTTGTGAGCTGCCATGTGGGTGCGGGGAATTGAACCTGGGTCCTCTGGAAGAGCAGCCACTCAGCTCTTAATCACTGAGCCATCTCTCCAGCCCCCAGTTTTTTTTTTAAAAAAAATTATGTATGTAAGTATTTGCCCACTATGTGTCTCTACACCACATATGTGCCTGGTGTTTGGGAGTCTGGAAGAGGGGCTCAGATCCCCCCAGAACTACAATAACAGATGGATCCAACCTGCCATGCTGGGAACCAAACTTGGGTCCTCTGGAAAAGCTGCTGGTGAACTTAACCTAAGAGCCATCTCACCAGCCCTCCCAACTCCCACCCATCCAGCCAAGTCACTGTCACCGAACGCTTTCCGCTCCAGGGAGAAGCCCTCTCATACTCTCACAGATTTGGGGAAACACCAGTGTATATCACAAGCGCCATCTCTAGCTAACCAAATTCCCTGCATTTATGAACTTGTTCTGTGGCTCTGTTTCAAAAAAGTCTCTATCTTGGTCTAGGCTCTTGCCTGCAGTTGGGGCGGAGAGCTGGTTTAGGGTGAGCTTCTCTTTTTTAATGTGAAGATGTACTCTGTGGGGAGGGAGAGGGCTCAGTGGTTAGAGCGCTTCCTCCTGCACAGGGATGGTCTTGCACCCTTGCTGGTGGCTCCTAAGCCCCTATAAATCCAGTTCTGGAGGATCTGACGTCCTCTCTGGCCTCTACAGGCACCCACACACCCTGACACTGAACACCCAAGCAGCTTGAGTCATATCCAGGACCCACCGTCTGCAAGACTCTGTTCATGCATGGCGCTTCATCAAGAATGCCAAGTCGTTGCATTGATGGGAGGGCTCTTGGCACCTGGGCCTTGAATACTTCCCTGGGGGGGCAACTTTTTTTTTTAATGAGACAGGCTCTCATATAACCCAGGCTGGCCTTGAACTCTTGATCCCCTGGCTCTGCTCCCCCCACCCCTTGCTGGATTACAGGCATGTACCACCATCCTTGGTTTCATAAACTTTGAGGATTAAACAGGGATTTCTACATGCTAGGCAAGCCATAACCACTGGGCCAGGACCTAGTCCTTTGCCGGAACGTTTCTATCTCCACCTTCTATCCGCTTTCCTAGATCCTTTTTCTCACCTGTGATAACTAACACCCACTGTTGCTCCTAGAGCGCCTGGTGTTTTGATCGTTTGTGTGCATTTCCCCCAAGCTTTGAGTAACAGATAATTAAGCCATATTTTCACTGTGCTCTACGTTGCTTTCTGTTTTCTATGTTTGCTTCCAGTATTCTATGCGGTATTTTCCAGTAACTTCCCTTTTATAAAGCTGAGTTCCTTCGTGCATTGTAACCATGTCCATGAGAACACACCATTGCTCTCTATAAGCAGATTGCTCGCTACCTGTCTCCCAGTGGTGGGCCAGCCTTCAGCCACTGCTCAGACTCTGATCTGATCCTCACAAGTCCACTTCATACGAGGCCCCATCCTTAGCTGAGAAGCTACTGGCAACTTATGGCTGCTGGAGAGGGAGTCATTTCTTTATGAGTGTACCTACTGAGAAGTTGTTCATGGCCCAGGCAATAAATAACCCCATACCCACGCGCATGAAGAAGAAAAGTACCCAATAACCTTTTTACCTTTGATCCAATTACCCCATACCCACGCGCGAAAAAGAGAAGTGCCCAGTGGCCTTCTTACCTCCGAT